GACCTCGGTCTTCAATGTATGCAGCTGACTGCTGATGGTGGTGGTCGGCGCAGCGAAGGTGCTGATGTCGCCGAGCATTGCCACTACGTGGTCAACGCGGTTCTCCAGTTGGCGGCTTGAGGGTGCACTGCTGGAAGCTCCAGCAGCTGGTCCTGGTATTGCCTGTTCCAGGTCCAACAATCGGGCATYGAGTGCCCGAGTTGCATCCTCGTGGCTCTGCACTGTGCGGCGGAGCATCGCCAATTCCTGATGCTGTCTCTCCAACTCTGACCTTTGGTAGTTGCAAGCATACAACAATCGCGTCACGAGTTTGGAGAGGAACTCCTTGTGCTTTTCTTCCGGTGTTGCGTCGTCACTGTTCGGTTGAAAATGCCAGTACTTGAGTTTGTCGATGCTGTTGGCTTCATGCCGCTGCAGCAGATCCTGGGCTTCCTTTCGGCGAGCCTGGGCATCTGCTTCTGCATCGGCCTGTAGCCGCAGTTTCTCTGCTGCTGCTGCCTCTTCARCTTGTATGCGGGCAGCCTCGACTGCCAGCAGGCGTTGTTCCTCAGCCTCTATCTGAGCCAAGCAACGCTGCTTGTAGGCGGCAATGGTCTCATTGGCCAGTTGGCCTGGCAGGCCCGTCATGTTGCTGAYGTGGCAATGCTGCTTACGTGGCACTGCTGATGTGGCACTGTGTCTGACGTGGTACTGCTGACGTGGCACTGCTGACGTGGCACTGCTGACGTGGCACTGCTGACGTGGCACTGTGTTGAACGTCACTGCTGATGTGGCACTGTGTCTGACGTGGCACTGCTTACGTGGCACTGTCTGACGTGGCAATGTGACCTGGCACTGCGGACGTGGCACTGCTGATCTGGCACTGCGGACGTGGCACTGCTGATCTGGCACTGTGACGTGGCACTGCTGACGTGGTACTGTGACTTGGCACTGTGACGTGGCACTGTGGCTTGCCACTGTGACGTGGCACTGCTGACGTCGCACAGCTGATCTGCACTGCTGACGTGGCACTGTACCGAAACGGGATGCATGCAAGGGGTGGGTGGGAGGGAAAACGGAGGGAGGTAACCAACCCAACAATGCTTTCCTCCGGCCCTAATCAACAGATAAAATAAAAAACAAAAAAATAAAAGAGGACTATTTCCTTTTTTTTTTTTTTTTTGTATATATCTGTCGATTTATGATGAGTAGGATATGTCAGAAGAGTATAATGAACGAGATCTAGGCTAGGTGCCGCAAAGTTTTGGCTTTTACAAACGCGATCTTGAAATTTTTTTTTGCGAAATGGAGTAAAGATGCAATTTTCAGAAAAGAAAGAAATCCAGTTTCTGATGATATAGCAACCTCCGAATATGCCTACTGCAATATTGGTAGACTTCGCAAGATTGGGTTTTCAAAAAAA